ATAGTTCTTGCAAGTGTGATAAGTGTCCGATTCTTTCTCTCTACTACACCATTTTATTGAGGAGTGTATGTTGCAGAGATCTCATGCTTGATTCCAACTTCATCACAATAAGCTTAAATGTTTGTGTTGTCAAACTCTTTTCCATTATCACTCCTTATCTTCTTGAGCTTCACTTCAAACTCATTTTGTGCTCTCTTGGCAAACTTCTTGAAACATGATGCAACTTCGGTCTTGTCATGAAGGAAGAATACCCATGTATATCTAGAGTAGTCATCAACAATCACAAGACAATAGAGATTTCCTCCCAAGCTCTTGTAGGTTGTTGGTCCAAATAGATCTATGTGAAGGAGCTCTAGCACTCTTGTTGTTGACATGTAAGCTTTTGTAGGATGAGTGTTTGTAACTTGCTTGCCGGCTTGACATGCACTACAAAGCTTGTCCTTCTCAAATTTTACATCCTTCAACCCTCTCACCAATTCATTCTTCATAAGTTTTTTGAGTGAGCTCATCCCAACATGAGCAAGTCTTCTATGCCATAGCCACTCAAGTGATGTTTTGGTGAATAGGCATGTCTTCAAGTTAGCATCTTCAGAGGTGAAATCCACTAGATATAGGTTGTTGTATCTAAATCCCTTGAATATAACTTGATCATCATCTTTCTTAGATACAACCACTTCCTTCTCGGTGAACAAGTATTGAAAACCAAGATCACACAATTGACCAACGGATAGCAAGTTGAAGCTCAATGAAGTGACATATAGCACATTTGAAATTAAATGATTATTTGATATTGCCACTTTGCCTAATCCTTGAACTTTGCCCTTTGAATTATCACCAAATGTTATCCTTTCTTGGCCTTCTACTTCTTCATCTAGTGAGGTGAGCATACGAGGATCACCGGTCATATGTTGAGTGCAACCACTATCAATTACCTAATGACTTCCACCGGTCTTGTAGTTCACCTACACACAAGAGATCAAGCTTGTTTAGGGACCCAAACTTGTTGAAGGCCCTTGACTCTCTCAACAAGTGACTTTACAACCCAAATTTTCTTAGGCCTATTCTTGTTGGAAGGTCCTAAGAACATGACTTTCATTTTTCCACTAGAGTTCTTTCTAAGCATGTAATAAGCATTAAAAGCAAAGGGTCTAGCATGCTTGGGCAAGGGTTGTGGTGGTGGAGTTTGACACCCATGGGCAAAGCGACCTTCTTGTCCACACTCAAAACACCTCTTTGGCTTTGACTTTGACTTGTGTTGTTGTCGATTGTTTAAGCTTGGGCCTTCTTCTCTTGATGTGCCAAGTACCCAATGCCACTTCTATCCATCTTCATTACTGAGTATTCATGAGTAGCTCACTTTGAAGATGTTGACCTCTTGTAAACTTGCTCAAGCCGGTCTTGAGATGTTCTTTTTCTAACTTGAGCTTCTTGTTCTCTTCTTTGAGTTCATCATGATTTTTCTCCATCTTTAGTCTCTTGTTCTCTTCTTTGAGCATCTCATTTTCAAGAGCTAGATCACTATCATGGTCAAGGTTCTCTATCACGATGGTGTTGGTGGTTGATAGCTTTATAAGATCTTTCTTGAGCTTCTCATTCTCATTCTTGATCTTGACATACTCATCATAGTTGTCGGACTCAACCATTTGCTTGCCTTTGCAACTAGAACCTTGCTTAATGCTCTTAATAATCAAATCATCACATGATATAGCTATATCAATCTTAACAATATGGTTAGTAGCATTATGTGGCTCATTAGATAAAAATTCATGAGAGATAACAAGATTATCATGATTAACCTTGAGGTTGGTATACTCTTCTTTTATCATATTGTAGCTAATAGTGATTTCATTATGTATCCCCTCAAGTTTATCATGTTTTTCTTTAAACTCCTTTCTAGATGATTTGAACTCCTTGAGTTTGGATGACATAATTTTGTTTTTTTCTAAGCTCAACACTAGCTTTTTCGGCTATGTCACATTTAGCTAAGAGTGAGTCATTCTCAAGTTCTAGCTTTTCATTCTTAGCTCTTATCTTTCTAATGATCTTAGTGTATTAATTTAGCAACTTAACAAGATCATCATATGAAGGTGATTCAAATTCATCATCACTATCACTATCATCATTGCTAGCATGATCATCACCACTACTATCATCATTGCTTTGTACCTTTCGTTTACCCTTAGCCATAAGGCATGGGAGTGTAGAGGATGATGGCGGTGGTGTCGATGAAGATAGTGAAGAGTCAATCACAATAGCGGCCACCTTCTCATTCTCACTATCATCATCGGATGAGCAACTTGATGAATCAATATCCATGAGCCAATCACCGATTTATGTATGCGTTGCCATTCTTCTTTTTCTTGTGGAAATCCTTCTTCTTGTCATCCTTCTTCTTGTATGGCTTATTTTTCTTCTTCTCATTATTATCTTTATCACTTGAGTCATCTTTTTTGCCCTTGTACTTCTTCTTGTACTTGTCTTTCTTAGGCTTGGGGCATTGATGAGTTAGATGACCAAGTTCTCCATAATTATAGCAATCCATCTCGGAGATTGGCTTCCTTCTATTGCTAGTGAAGAACTTCTTTTTGCCGTTAAACTTGACACCATTCTTATTGAGCTTCTTAAGCATCTTGGCGGTCCTTCTCACCATGAGAGCAAGACTTGCATCATCAATTTCATCATCACTTGAGCTCTCTATATTCAACTCTTGCTTTGCCCTTGTTCTCTTGGCTAGCCTTGAATGCTAAGTCTTTCTTCTTGGTGGAAGAAGAGCCATCTTGTGGTGTGATGTGCATATACATCTCATGTGCATTGATCTTTCCCAATATTTAAGTTGGTGTAGAGGATGAAGGATCACCTTGATGAAGCACGGTCACAATATGCTCATATTTGTCAATGGGGAGGACACTCAAGATTTTTCTTACAATATCGGAGGGTTGCATTTGTGTAAATCCTAGCCCATTGACTTCCTCTACAAGAACATTTAAGCGTTAGTATATCTCATTAGTACTTTCTTTAGGAAGCATCTCAAATGAATTAAGTTTTTTCATAACTAGATGATAGCGTTCCTCACGCTCACTCTTTGTTCCCTCATGGAGCGCACAAATGTCTGACCATAGTGCATGGGCGTCCTTATGGTTCTACACACGGTTAAACACATCTTTACAAATGCCTCTAAAGATGGTGTTTCTAGCCTTTGCATTTTATTTCTCATAATTGACTTCATCACCTTAAAGGTGTGTGGGATCCTTAGGTTTTCGGAAACCTTGTGAGACAGCTCTAAGAATTCCAACATCTAGAGCTTCTAAATAAGCCTCCATATGGATTTTCTAATAAGAAAAATCATCTCCCTCAAAGATAGGAGGAGGTCCATCCCCGTAGGACATCTTTCTCTAGGCAGTTAAGCCTAATTTAGTGAGCACGAGGCTCTGATACCAATTGAAAGGATCAAGATACCTAAGAGGGAGAGTGAATTGGACTAATTCCAAAATTCTTTCAATAATTAAACCCTACACTTAGCCCACTTCACCCCTTGTGCCTAGAATATGTTCCTATTGTTCTACCGCACAAAAGTTTTACACCCTAGGTTCCAATCTTACTCTAGCATGGTAATTCTAAGAATGTAAAGACAAGAAATGAATTGTTCAAATATAAATGCTTAAAGTAAAGAGAAAAGAAGGAACGCGGCGATATTTTGTCGAGGTATCGGAGAGTCGCCACACCCCACTAGTCCTCGTTGGAGCACCCACGCAAGGGTGTAGCTCCCCCTTGATCCGTGCAAGGATCAAGTGCTCTCTACGGGCTGATTCTTTGACACTCCGTCGCGGTGAATCGCCCACAACCGCTCACAACTTGAGTTGGGTCATCCACAAGCTCCGCCGAATGATCACCAAACTCTCAATCACCACCAAGCTGTCTAGGTGATGACGATCACCAAGAATAATAAGCATAAACTCTCACTTGACCACGACAAGCCTAATGAGAAGGGTGGATGCACACTTGCTACTCTCCTTGCACTAATGAGGCCTTAATCTTGGGTTCTCAAATCTCAATCACCTCACTAGGCTCTTGCTCTCCTTTGCACTCTTAAGGGTGTTTCTCAGCTGAACAAATGGGCAAGAGACCTCCCTTGGATGAGTGGAGTAAGTATTTATACCCTCTCATTCAAAACATAATGTTTGGAGGTTGAGTCATCACTCTGCGGGGTGACCGGACGCTCCGGTCAGGATGACCAGACGCTCTAGTCAGTTATCCCCATCACTATGTCAGAAAGAGCCGTTAAGTTCTGACCGGACTCTGACCTCCACGTCCGGTCACGAAAATCGCTCTCTAGAACCTTCTTGATGTTGACCGGACGGCGCACCTAGAGTCCGTCCCTTCATTGCTCGATGTCCGGTCAAGATCTTGGACCGAATCGTTCAATCGAGAATCTCCTCTCTGGAACCTCTTTGGAGTTGACCTGACCACAGGCACCCAAAGTCCGGTCACTTTTCACTCAAATATCCGGTCACAACTAGACGGCTCCAGTTGATCAAATGAACTGACCGGACTCACCCTTCAGCATTCGGTCACAACCAGACCAGCGTCCGGTCAGTCATTTGACCCTCCATTCACTTCCAACTCAAAATCATATGTGAATGAAGTTTGCTCCAGTTGATCTTAGGGCTACTCCGGAGCTACCTAGTGCTAGATTTGACAAGTGTGCACAACACCTAACCCACTAGACTCACTTAGGTCAAGCTACTAGTTCATACCCCCCTTAATAGTACGGCCAAAGGAAAAAAAGTCCTAAACTACTCTAAGTGTCTCTTCAACACCAAACGACACTTAGAACTAGTCCATCCTTAACATTATCGTCCATCCTTTGAAAACCGAAACGATTTACATCGTAGGAGCATGACAACCATGATTGCCCAATCAATTGCCATTACCATGATCTAACTTAAATTGCCTCTATAAAACACACGTTAGTCATAGTAATCTCGTATTGTTATTAATCATCAAAACTCAATTAGGGGCCTAGATGCTTTCAGGTAGCGAGCTTTCAAGTGATCCCACATTTCCTTCGCCGTATTGTGATCCTCAAGACATGAGCGAATGCTCAACTCAACATTCATGCCGATAGCAGCCATCACACGGTCATCATCAAGGCGCCAAGCTTTGACCGCTTTATCATTAGCATCATTTGAGGCTGCAGGTGGATCCTCAGTGAGATGTGAGGCATAACCACAAGCTTGCAGCAGCATTTTGAGAGAGAAAGCCCATTCTCTATAATTTTGACCATCGAGCTTCACGTCCAGGGGTGGCAAGCCAAAAGAAAAGGCCATAGGCATGGAGGATGACACATCACCACTAGGAGATGTAGCTGGTGGTGCCATGGTAGAGGCTGGCGGTGGAGAACAGACTGGTACAACAGATCGGCAAAATCAGCAAAGCAGCACGAACAGCAGCAGAGCAACAAAGAGGCGGGAGCAGATCGGCACAGCAGCAGAGCAGCACGGACAGCGAAAAGGGGCAACCTTGAGGAGGGGCGCGGAAGGAAGGTCGATGCTGCTGGATGAAGTCAGTCGCCAGCATCCATCAGTGCAGAGGTGTTGGATGCATGGAGGCTGGGAGAACCTAGCTTTGTTACCATGTTAGGAAGAATGACCTCACACCCATTCAATGAGTCTAGGGTTCCAGTATATACAAGTATGGGCCAAATTGGGCCATAAGGCCTACATGGGCCAGAAAGAGAGAAGACAGAAAATCACATATATATGTACATATTAACAGATACATATGCAGTGAACACACAAACTGAAAAAATCGAACCGAGGAGAAAACAAAGGAGAAAAATCGCATGAGGTCACCACAACCTCGCTCCTGGACTGCTCTGCTGCCGCGCCGTCGCTCTTGCACGTGTCCTCGCGGCCGCCGGTCAGCTGTCGCCCCTGGTTGAGGAGGAGCAGGGACGCCACTGTGCTAGGGCCGAGGCGGGGAAGGAGAGGGGTGCCACTGCGCCAGGGCGGGGAAGGAGCATCCGAGCAGGGCGTCCCTCTGCGGTAGCGGGAGGAGCAGGGACAGGGCCGATAGGGGGGGGAGGAGGAGGGCGCGCAGGGCGGCACAAGGACTCCTGGTAGCGGCTGGGAGGGAGGAGTGGAATGGAGTAGGGTTTGGGGAGGTTGTATATATACCAAGGCCTGCTGGGCTGGGCCATTTTCTTTCTAATTACTAGGCCTCATGGGTCACTTCAGTTATTTCGGTTGATCGAGCTTAAGAACCGAACTAACCTGACTTATTTCGGTTACTTGGAACTGAAAACCGAACTAGGAAACGAAATATTCAGTTTCGGTTAATTCGGTTTCGGTTATTCAGTTTCGGTTATTCGGTTTGGTTTTTGGTTCTTGGTTATTTTTACCCAGCCTTAGGCGCAGGTGTCGGAGCCACATCCGGACACCTGGGCGCTAGGTGTATAGTTGTTTATTTCCTGCGGGGATGCACTGCCATTATTGGCTTCAATGCAATTCCTGATTTGCTTTGCCGGTGAATGCCCCGGACATGCTGTCATGCGGTGATTACGAACTAATAGTACTTCTGCACATATATATACTACTAGTTTATATCAATGCATCATATGATATGTATAGCTTCCTGTACACAGTTCATGTACCGGTTATGTATTCCATTGTTATTGCCTTATTGCATTCTTGGCTTTCCTTTTTCATAATCATAGGTTCACGGAGAATACATGTCAGGCCAACAAGATCAGGGCCGGGGCTGCATATCAGAAAATATGTTGCTATACTAGCCTTCGTGTGGCCGACCAAGCAGTACACGTCCCTAAAAAATCAAGCAGTACACTTAGAAGAAAAATTTTCCAGCTCAGAGACTGGAATTCAGACTTAATCTATTACATGATTTGAATAATTGGTACCATTTATGTTATGTGATGACAATTGATATACTACACTTGCCGTGTTGGATAGTTATCAATAGATATGTCCCATATAGCGCGTTATCATAAATCTACATGCTTGATGACGACAATGTATGTTATTGTTATCAATAGATACATATCCCATTTGTTTTATGGCAGGAACATCAGTATGGACAACATTGGCATCTAGATTGTTGGCGGCTTCAACAATCATGTCGACGTAGAGTTTGTCGTGCTGAGAACGTGTTGTAAATAAATATGTTGTCAGCGATTAGGATGTTTCTCTCTCTTTCTCCGAATAAATATTTTGTCAGCGATCAGGATGTTTCTCTCTCTCTCTCTGAATAATGAACACTACTGAGCTCCAACGTATATATTGTACGGCTAAGATCGAATTTAGTAAAAGTCCTCCTTTTTAGAGTCTATATTTGTTTTACAACACCAGCTATTTTTTTCTCTGAATTTATATAGCAGTTATATATATTAGATTAGATACTAATTATGGACATGTAGCGTAAATCCAAACGTGTCCACGGTTGCCATGCATGAGTGCAGTCCTACCGAGTTTTTTCCGTATGGGATGGACGTGTCCACGATTGCCATGAATACATACAGTACGTCCCTACCTACCGAAAAATTTTCCGTACCCACGCATACATATATTGTCGATCCGACACGCCCCGTACCCTCACGCTCATCCTCCTCCGTGCCACCCGTCCTCGCAGCCGAGATTGCCGCTGTCGCCGCCGCCGCTGCTTGAAGAAGCATCATGGCCGCCGAACCCAGAGCATGCGACATCTACAGAACTCGGGACGTACAGGGCTTCCACTTCCGGGTGAGCCACCCGGCTACCAAGAATCTCGCCGCCGGCCAGTACGTCGAGAAGGTCTTGGCGTTAGTCAACGGATTCAGGGTCACCGCAAGATGCTGGCCCCGCTGGGAAGGCTTCATCAAACTCTCCGTCGTCATCACCAGCTTGCTGAGCCAACAGAGGGTCCAGCCTCCCAAGGTGGCTGCGGCAAGCATAGAACTTCGGAACAGGGACGGGCTGCCGGTTCGCACGGGCAGACAGCAGCCTGAAACCGTCACCGGAGATTGCTTTGGAGGAACCATACTCTACGTAAACAGAGATGAGGTCGAGAAGGATTGTCTCGTAGACGACCACTTCACCGCGATTTGCACTGTGACCATCCTAAGAGACTGGCCGCCATTGGACCTTCCCGTTCCTTACAATCTAGGAAGCGTCATATTCACCATGCCAGATCTCAGCGATGTGTCCTTCCAAGTAGGGGGACACACTTTCAAAGCGCACCGCCTTGTTCTCGCCGCCTGCTCACCGGTGTTCAAGGCGATGCTGTTCGGCGAGATGGTTGAAAACAGGGCAAGCACCATTGCTATCGAAGACGACACGAGGCCGAACACCTTTGGATGCATGCTCTATTACATGTACCACAATGTGCTGCCGCCGGCTGCAGCCGGGATGGGCGACGCTGCTGAAAAGACGGAGTTTCAGCATCTGTTTCTAGCTGCCGATAAGTATGGATTGGACAAGCTGAAAGAGACGTGCGAGGAGATGATGTTCGCTGGCATCACAACATCCACGGTGCTGTCGATCATGGAGTTCGCGGAAGAGCGTACACGCCCTAAACTGAAGGCCAAGTGCCTTGATTTCCTTACGGTTCCTAGAAATTTCCAAGAGGTGGCTGCAACTCAGGAGTACCTTGATTTGATGACCAAGCTCCCGTCTTTGCTAGCCGAAGTACGGGACAGTTGCAAGAGACCACGAATAGTGGTGTGAAGGGCTAATGTATTACTCCTACTAACATGTATTTGTCGGCTATCATTCAACGAAAAATCATGACACTGATGAGGTGGGAGGATATATTTGGTGTAATCAGAGAGCGATCCGACAAGATCGCGCGGAGTCCATATTTATAGCGTTAAAAGTTTTGCTAACAAGTACACATTTAGGTTTCTAGTCTTGTGTTATTACTATTATGCCCTAGATAGAAGAATTATGTGAGCGTCATCACTAGCTTTTTCAGAGACCTGCAAATTAAAGGTGCTCTTCAGAGTGAGCTCCACTGTGGATGACGTGCATGTCTTGTTGACGTGAATATCACAATTGTATGTGTCAGTTAGATATAATTATATATCCTAGTGGATTGCTGAGGTGGACAATTTGCATATAGAGATAGAATGTTAGTGACGTTAGAATTATAAGAGATAGAGATATATATTTAATTGAAAAAATAGTTAAAACTTAACCCTAATGCATTTAAATAGGACTATTTTTTTTAGCAAGGCTTCAACTAGTTTTAGTGAACAATTGCTTGTATTTGCTAGCCGAAGTATGAAACTGGTGCAAGAGACCACCACTAGTGTGAAGGGCTAATTGATTATTTTTTTAGTATTATACAGTACAATGCAGACACTTACAACACGTGCATACTCACTTCTAAGAATGCACGCATGCAAACTCTACCCCCCTATGAGCCTTTTTAAGACTGGTCCGACAAATCCTCGAGATTGACGAAGTTATCACAGGTGCTTCGTTGTTGACAGGAACGTCGCCTACCACTGAAAGCATAACGCTGTTAAATCCGGTAATATTCGTTCCCACAGAGAGTCCGGCCCAGAACCTAACCAGGATCAGACCTGAGAACCTGAGGTGATGGTATATGATTGTACATGAGGTGCTACTAATGCCGTTACATACCAACATGATAGTTTGGTGCATCCTTTTTTTGCATTATGAGAAGGACCAGCATGGACACGTGGTGATCATCTAAGTAGTGTTGTATCCAAGGCCGCGTTTAGTTCCGGCCAGATTCGGCACCGGATGAATTCGGCTGGCAATCGTAGTAGCTACTGCTTTGTAGCGTTTTGTTTTTTGGTAATAATTGTTCAATCGTTGACTAATTAGGCTCAAAACGTTCGTCTCGCAAAGTACAACCAAAATGTGCAATTAGTTTTTGATTTCGTCAACATTTAGTACTCCATGCATGTATCGCAAGTTTGATATGACGGGAAATCTTCTTTTTGTATAGTGCCAAAGTTGAGAGTTTTTGTGAACTAAACGAGGGCCAAAACGTAGTACGACACCATCGCATATAATTTACCGAGAGTCCCTGTCTACCGCGCCCACGCAAACTGACATCATCAGTGGACGGTGTGGAAAAAATTCTATGCCACGTTGCGTGAGGAGAGTGTGTCCATGCTAGTCCTTCTCATGATGCAAATCACGTCGTGCGAGGAGAGCAAACCCTGACTCTCGGCTGGTTGATCAACCGCAGAACGTGCAATCGGGCCAGGATACCACGCGGTGATAATCGGGACGGTGTCACACAGAAGCCAGGTGCAACACCGTCACATAGAAATTCTTTCCGGAGCATGAATATTTTGATGCATCCTTTTTTTTTCATGGAAAAAATCTACATGAGCCCCTGGCCTTTGCACCTGTGTCTAATTCACCCCCTGAAATATAAAACCGTGTATTGACCACCCTAAACTCTTTCAAACTAGTTATTTAACCCCTTCTAGTGGTTTTGGCTCCTGGTTTTGTTGATGTGGCAGGCTCACCTAGACACATTGATGTTTGGGCCCATGCGTCATAGGAAGCGAACGAGATGCACATACGCCATCTACATGTGGCAGCGTATAACGGCGGCCTGAGCGGCTGAGCGGATTCTTGCACGGGCGCTTAGCAGAGGGACGGAAAAGGGAGCAAAGGGGCAGCGGACGGCCTAAGAGCCAGCGGCGACGCTAAAAGGCTGGGACAGAGCTGCAGGCCGCCGGTGGCGCTATATATATATAATATTTAGGAAAAATAAAGAATCAAATTAAGCTTGTACTGTACGTGTGCATGCATAATCTGTGCTCTTTGGAGAGGCAAGCAGATAGCGAAGGAACCTAGTAAATTGCTCTGGCTTTTACGCCTTCTATTTATAGGAGAAGATGAAGCGAGCTAGTTGCATATGAAATGCTGGAGCCATCAGGGGCCCGCCAAACCCCACAACTGAGGACCAGGCACTCCGCGGAAGCAACACGATAACATACAGAGGTTCCTGGTCCATCAACGCGAGGCAGCTGGTCGAGAGCCGGCGCCCAGCGTTCTGCACGCCATGCGGGTCATTGCCATGCATGGCCATATCAACGAGGCGGCGAGGCCGCAGTCCGCAGAGGATGATGAAGGCGCCGAATTGGAGCACCCACTGGGGCGTTATGCCTGGCAAGAGCACAGCCTGCTCGACCTCGGCGCACTCGAGGGAGCTCGGAGACGACGCTCTCGAGGGAGGCCTATGCAATTATGCTGGTTGGCGACAACGCGCTGGCACTGGCGTCCGGAGTCCGGAGCTGGCAACGAGCTGGTGGCCTTGAGGAGCAACGGTTGCGCGGTGCCGCTGGCCTCCGGAGTGAGAAACGGGAGATAGGGAGGGGGCGTGGCGACATGCCGGCGGCGGCATGGCCGTTGTGGCGGTGGCGAGCTGCGTGGCTTGAGCGTCAACGTATCAAGGCGAACCTGCAGCTTGAGCTGCCAGGTCAGCAAAACCAGGAACTAAAACCACTGAAAGGGATTAAATACCTGGTTTGGAGAAGTTTGCTCGATACACAGTTTTATAGTTCAGGGGGTGAATTAGAGATAGATGCAAGATTATGTAGACTTTTTCCTTTTTTCATCACGAGAAGGACCAGCATGGACACGTGTGATCATCTAAGTAGTGGAATATCCAAAGCGTAGTACGACACTGACGCATATAATTTACCGAGAGTCTTTTGTCTACCGCGCCCACGGAAACTGACATCATCAGTGGACGCCATGGAAAAAAAATTCTATGCGACGTTGTGCGAGAAGAGCGTGTCCATGCTGGTCCTTCTCATGATGCAAATCATGTTGTGCGAGGAGAGCAAACCTTCTCGGCCGGTTGATCGACCGCAGAACGTGCAATGGGGCCAGGATGCCGCACGGTGATAATCGGGTCGGTGTCGAACACCCTCGCATAGAATTTCTTTCCCTTTGATTAGAGCGCTTCCATCTTTGGCTCACGAGACCTGATTGCATGATTGAATAGGATTTCTTCTTAAAAAAAAAAGCTAGTTTCCTTTCCTTCTAAAAAAGCCGTAGAGTTTGTTTCCTTTTAAAACATGAATGAGCAGCCTGTCTCTCCGTCTCCTACGTTGATCTGCTTCCATCCATAATCCATAAACCAAAAAAAAGAGAGGCCTTGTCCTATTCTGAATTTGCAGTTGGATATAATTTCCATGTGTGCAGATGTAGCACCAGTTAAAAGGCTGCTTCCTGCCCCGTTTGCCGGCTGCGGTTCCCGGTCAGCATACTATTCCCTCTCTCAACCCTCTAGACTCTAGCGAAGTCGCACTTGTCCCGCCGCATCGACGAAACCATCTTATGGCCGAACAGAAAGCATGCACGGTCTTCCACGCCCGGGAGTCCAAGTCCTTCAATCTCAGAGTAAACAACTCGCCCACTAAGCATCTCTCCGGCGACGAGTGCATCGACATTGACGTCTCCATCCCTGCCGCTGCCGGCTTCACATGCACCGCCAAGTACTGGCCGAATTGGCAATCGTCTGACGTCGAGGCGAATTGCGTCGTCGAAGACCACTTCACCGCGATTTGCATGGTGGCGGTCTCAAAAGTCTGGCCGCCGCTGCCGTTGCCGACGCTGTCTAGACTAGAGCATGATATTCTCATGACCTCCGATCTCACTGATGTCTCCTTCCAAGTCGATGGGGAGACTTTCAGGGCGCACCGCCTCGTGCTCGCGGCGCGCTCTCCAGTGTTCAGGACAGAGCTCTTCGGTCGTCGTCAAATGGCTGAAAGCTGCCGACAAATACGGGCTGGACACCCTCAAACAAACGTGCGAGGAGATACTATGTGCTAGCGTCACCACAGATGCGGTGCTGTGAAACTTGCAGTTTGCCGAAGAGCGCGCATGCCTGAAGCTCAAGTCCAGGTGCCTCGATTTCCTTGCGGATGGCGAAAAATTCAAGGCGGTGGCGGTAACCAACGAGTACATCGACCTGATGAAGAAGGTCCCGTCTTTACTAGACCATGTGCAGAACCGATTCAAGAGGCCACGACTATCGTGAACACCGGAGTTGTTGGGTATGATCAGCTATATATCGAGTTTTGGCGTCAGTTAGTTTGATTAGCAGCATAAAAAGTTCAAGTAGGCTGGAACTTTGTTCCCTTATTAAAAAAAAAGTTCAAGTAGTATTTATTTTGCAGAAGGTCCTTAATTTATACTGTTGGTGTTTCTCGGACAACCAGATCGCCGCAGCCGGCTTATGATCTTCACCTCTGAGGCGTACTCTTTCCTCCCGTGCTCTGAACCTCTCAACGCTGTAGTTAGTCTTCAGTGGAAGGAAGTTTCTCGGACAACTAGATCGCCAGACGGCGAGACCCAAGCCGCTTTTGTTTCCCTATTCGCCAGGTGCATGCTCCAAGCTACCGTGCCCACCATCGCTATGCGTGCTCGCCCATCATGCCGAGCCGCCGCTTACGCGCGCTTGCTCTGCGCTGGGTCACCGTTGCCGCCTGCTTGCGCACCGCGCTGGCCCGCCACATGGCGCGCTCGTCCACCACTCTGAGTTGCCGCTGTCAGAGAATGAGATGATGTGGCTGGATTTGGGCCGGGACAGGGTTGTCTCGGGGATTCTTCTCTACTGGGGAAGTAGCTTCAATGGGGAAGGAGATGATGCGGGAGTACGAGTAATCCATAGTACAAGGTGTGGGGGCGGGTGCGGCGGACAACGGAGGATGCGGTAGCTGTTGCCGTATCGAGTCTACATGAGAAGTGCCATGCGTGAGGTGGCGGCAGCCTGGCAGGTGGCTTTTGGTATGGTGCCACCCTAGGCCCTGATACTTAGCCCGACTACGTATATGAGCATTTTTTGTGGGAACAATTTTGAACTCTTCGATTGCAGTTTTTCTTGGGACGGATGGAGTATTTATTTCTGAACAGAGAAAAAGCTAGGATTGGTGGCGCGGCCTTTGTGTGAGATGGGCTGTCCCCGCTTACTAAGGACTTCCAAGGCGATTGTGGTCACTCAGCGACCCAAACCTGGGCCGAACATCTTAACACATGTAGGCTCAGCCCACATATGAGCCGCCGTTGCGTGACCCACTTCCCTTTCTCCCTCGGCATCCACGTGGGAGGGACATCGCTGCGCCAGCGGCGCGTCGTGTGTGTTCGTGCTCGTCCATATCCTCCTCGGCCCTTCTCATCAGCAATTCCCAAATCGCCCCTCCGCCAAAACGGGAGCTCAGCGGCGGCGCCCCCAACCTCTAACCCTCCCCTGAACCCTACCCCCTCGTCACCGGTCGCCACCCCACGACATGGCCCTCTCCCGCCGCCTCCTCCCGCTCTTCCTCCGCCGCGGCGCCCCCGTCCCCGCCCGCGCTCTCTCCACGGCCGCCGCACCTGCGGCGGTGGCCTCGGAGGATGACGAGGAGGCCATCACCGTCAAGGGCGTGCGCATCTCGGGCCGCCCTCTGTACATGGACATGCAGGCGACGACGCCCGTCGACCCGCGCGTCCTCGACGCCATGCTCCCCTTCTACCTCTCCCGCTACGGGAACCCTCACTCCCGTACCCACCTCTACGGCTGGGAGTCCGACGCCGCCGTCGAGGACGCCCGCGCCCGCGTCGCCTCCCTCGTCGGCGCCGACCCGCGCGAGATCTTCTTCACCTCGGGCGCCACCGAGTGCAACAACATCGCCGTCAAGGGCGTCATGCGCTTCTACCGCGAGCGCCGCCGCCACGTCATCACCACGCAGACCGAGCACAAGTGCGTGCTCGACTCCTGCAGGTACCTGCAGCAGGAGGGATTCGACGTCACCTACCTCCCCGTGCGCAAGGACGGGCTCGTCGACCTCGCGCAGCTCGAGGACGCCATCCGCCCGGACACCGGGCTGGTGTCCGTCATGGCCGTCAACAACGAGATCGGCGTCATCCAGCCCCTCGAGGAGATTGGGCGCATCTGCAAGGAGAAAGGCGTACCGTTCCACACTGATGCTGCTCAGGCGCTGGGGAAGATCCCGATTGATGTCAACAGGATGGGGATTGGGCTCATGTCCCTGTCCGGCCACAAGATTTACGGGCCCAAGGGCGTGGGGGCCCTCTACCTTCGCCGCCGCCCGCGCATCAGGGTGGAACCGCAGATGAACGGTGGTGGGCAGGAGCGTGGCATCCGCGCAGGGACTGTGCCCACGCCGCTTGTTGTTGGATTTGGGGCTGCCTGTGAGATTGCTGCTCAAGAGATGGATTATGACCACAGGCGTGTCAGTGCTCTGCAGCAGAGGCTGCTTGATGGCATGCGTGCGCAGGTCGATGATATTGTCATCAATGGAAGCATGGAGCACCGTTACCCAGGCAACCTCAATTTGTCATTTGCGTATGTCGAAGGGGAGAGCTTACTGATGGGTCTGAAGGAGGTGGCTGTGTCAAGTGGTAGTGCCTGCACTAGTGCCAGCTTGGAGCCCTCATATGTGCTGCGGGCACTTGGAGTGGAGGAGGATATGGCGCACACTTCTATTCGTTTTGGCATCGGTCGGTTTACCACTGAGGAAGAGGTGGACAGAGCAATTGAGCTTACTGTGCATCAGGTGAAGAAGCTCCGTGACATGAGCCCACTCTATGAGATGGCCAAGGCTGGCATTGACCTCAAGAGCATTGAGTGGTCACAACACTGAGGCATCTTTCATGACAAACGGACACTCGAGAGTGTACACGGATTGCATACATCGGTATATGGCTCTTAGCTGCCTGCTCTTTGTTATATCCTGTTTTCTTTCAAAAGGGATGATGCCATGGTGCCTTGTTTACATGACATGATAAATAATCGTGCATCTGTTCAGCATATCTGATGACATTTAGAGCAAAGGATAATGTGCAATATTTTCATGGTGATTTGTTCTGAGCGTACATCTGTGAATCAGATATTTTCTCTATGATGTTGAAATTAACTTAATTTGGAGAAGTGTAACCTAGTAAGGTCTTGTTCTGTTCCATTAAATGCAATATTTAGAACAAGAATAAATCAGATTCTCTAGACCGTGCATCAAAGACCCTTGCTGCTGGTTATGCTGAAATGTTTCTTATTAATATGGTTCAACAAGTGCCTGTGCACATCCAAAAATATGGCATGCACTGTCTTGCTTTTAGGATATCAACACAAGCAGCAAGCTGAACCCTGGTTAACAAGATTCCATTTTTGTAATGCCTTTGAGATTGTTTATTTGGGGCTGTGCTCTAGAGATTTTTGGTATTAATTCAAATTAGTACAAACTTGTTCTCTCTGTTCAAAACCATAGTTCACTTTAGCTTTGTCCTAAGTCAAACTTCTCTAACTTTGACCAGTTTTTCTCTAAAAGATGTATTAACATCTACGGGTTCAAATAAATGCAGTATCAAGACATTTTATGGAGAACTTAATGAAACTAGTTTCATATGTAAATGTTGGTGCAATGTTCTACTCCATCCGTTTCAAACTGTAAATAGTTTTAGCTCTGTTGCAAGTCAAGCTTGTCTAACTAGTTTATAGGAAAAATTATTAACATCTACATTTCATGTTGTATCAAATATATCTCATGGTGTATCAAATAAAAACATTATCAAATATATTTCATGGTGTATCTAATCTAATGAATCTAGTTTGATGTTGTAACTATAAACTTGGTCAAAGATAGAGAAGTTTGATTTAGGACATAGCTAAAACGACTTACAGTTTGAAACAGAGGGAGTATAAACTTGGTCAAAGCTAGAGGAGTTTGACTTAGAACAAAACTAATGTGACCTATAATTGGAAATGAGGGAGTAGGATTCAAATACAAATCTATATCCAATTCACGTCCTAATTTTTTTCACATAGAATTCTGAGGCCAAGTGTGCCTAACATGATGAGCTAAAATGTCAAGATCTAGTCACGTGACCTGATCTGGCCTTTGTTGCTTCTCACAGAAATTGCAGTGTTGAAATAGTTCCAGCTCATATCAGTCCACTTGTTTACTACTGGGTTAAACATTGTCATATGTTATATTTTGCCATTGCTTTCATAGGAACGGGATCAGGAGTAATGAATAATATTAGCCTGCTGTTATATATAATTTGCTGTCCCTGATTGATCTGTTGTCTGTCATCAGTGCCCTGATCTGAATACAAGTAGCAATGAATTATTCCTTCATCCACATATACTAAATACTTCAATCTACGTACTCATCCATTCTATACCTACCAGTGTCCTAAACTCCTAATCTAAGTACTAGTAGCAATGCAGCCTTCATCCACATACACTATATAGTTTAACCCTATATCCTATACCAGTTTATACCTACAAGTCACAGTTTTGAGCATGACAATGTGTGGTATTTAACTAAAGATTTGTTCTGAGCATAGTTTGTGCTGTAGCAGTGTTCTTAAGGCAGTGAGGTGAGGTGTGGTCTCAGGGTGGTGAAGTGAGGTGTGAACACCCACCCCCCTCACAACACCTAGGCAATGCCTAGGCACCTGCAAGGTGAGGTGATTCCGTACCAGTCTAGCAACACCAAACTAACAGCATAGAAGGATGGAAGAAAAATAGGAGAAAACGGGAAGGAGACTGGCCCAGCCCACCAAGCAGCCCTCCCTCCCCTCCCATAGTGAATTAAGCAGTCTATAACCTCAGGTGCTCTCAATGCCCTCTCTATACCAGCCATTAGCCTCTCCTCCCCGTTGCTTCCTTGCCCCTCGAGTGGAATCACCACCGCTGCTCCCCCATCCAGATTAGCCGTAGTTGCCCTCCCTTTCCAGATCAGTCACCGCCGCTGCTGAACAGGCAGATGCTTGCATCGGCCACCAGTGGCAGAGCTGCCAGGGATGTGTAGGCTTCTGCTGCTTGTTCCCTTTCTCCCTCCCCTCTTTGTTGACGTAGACGCCCAGGACCGCGTGGACACCTTGTCACCTAAGGTGGCACCTTAAGAACACCATAGTTTAAAGGCGGTTAGTCGTCCAGGCGAGTGCTTGGTACGCCTGGACGCCTAGGCCACAAGGCGCCACTGTTTCCCAAGGCGAGCTGGGTACGCCTGGACACCTGGGCGTCGCCTAGGCGACGCCTTGAAAACACTGAAGAACACTGTCCTGCACTATTTTCTCTGTTGAAATGGCTGCTGTTGATCAATTTGGAGAACTGTACCTAATACAGTATCGTTCCGTGGTACAGATGAAAATATTCCAAAATGAAAATAATAATTTAGAACAAGATAAAATCGAAATCTGTAGGTCATGCATACTATGTTTGCTTCATCTAAGACGTGTTTGTGCTGAGAAATATTTGGGGGATTGCTCTAGGAAATTTCTGGGATTCTTCTGGATTTTGCACACCCACAATACAATCAGGTCACAATTGTTTTTTAGGAAACTTTTGAGGGCATGTAAAAAATGTCAAACATCTGTGTCCAAGTATGAGGTATGGATTCATGAATCGTGTGGGCTAAAATGGCAATATGAATGTGACCAGATATAGCCATTGTTTTCTTACTGAAATCGAATTGTTGAAAATACAGCATGGCTGATAGCAGAGCCAGTTGTACATCTGACTTCCCATCCTTCAATCTGATGTCCTTCGTGGTATATTTGCGAATTTTAATGTTGTCCTTCCATCTTTGCTCATCACTTTTATCATTTTTTTCTCCCTCGTACTTTGCATTTGCTTGATCTTTAACCCTGTTGGATAACTGTGTTTAGAAGCTATTCTCCATTAGTACATGCTTAGTCTTGGTCTGGCTTCTATCAGTCTAATTTGTTGGTAATTACAGCATCTGGTCACTAAATTACTGATTTAGAAACCAACACAGGATGTCTCAAAACACAACTTTGTATTTGTGCTTATTTATTTTATTTATTTCAATACAATTATGATACTATTGAAGTACTTTATGAAAAATCTCCACATCATTTTCACATGTCCGGTAGAACTATTCACAGAGATATTGTGGTAGTTGGTACCAATTACCTTAAGGAGTTCTCAGCATGGGCGGCGCCAGGGGTATTCCCCTGTATGCCATGGAATACCCAAGATTTTGATGAGAAAAACAAATATACATATTTGCATTGTGGACATGCTACTATGCTACTTAAGCAAATTTATTTGGACATGCTACTATGCTACTTTGTTTAGTATTGTGACGAAATTATAGAAATGATCTTTTGTTTTTTTACATTTTGTGTTTGTAAATTATAATGTAAGAGTAGATGAAGAAGGTGCTAGCACTAGCATATTTGCATTGTGGGAGAAAGCTAGCACTTGTATATTTGCATTGTAATTTTTTTTACATGGAATACCCTGTTGCAATATCCTGGCTCCGCCACTGGTTCTCAGGATGCATCATTAATTGTTACCCATCATATCCAATATTTCTGATAAAATATAGCTCACATCACTGACTTCTCTGGGTAGTGGGTACCTCTCTGTTTGCATGCCACTATACATATTTCTTTCTTGTTATCTGGTTCTTATTCTGCATGTGAATGTTTTCATGATTGTTCTCCAGAGATTCTGATGAAGTATTTTAGCTATATTTTGATGCCATATAAATTGTAATAATCTACAACATAAGGCGAAGAAAGATACCTATAAATCTCACAAAACACCACCATAATAATGACTGCACAATTGTGGTTATTTTTCAATATTTTGTAGTTCCAGAAGTAATCACAACTCTAACTTGGTCCCTCTTGTTGGAACTTTTTCCAGGTTTATGTCTGGTGCTGGTGAAGACATTCATGTGGTGCCTACCTCTGATAGGATTATCACACTTTTTTAGCGCTCACATGGGGGCCTGAGTGTGTTCAAGAGGGTTAAATATGCTTGCTTTGTAAGGTAGAGTATCTTGACCTCAAAATAAGGATACTTCAAATACTTGGTAATGTATTGTCTGAAATACAGTTTGAAGTAGTAGTGAAGCGGTGACGATGATGTTAATATATTTTAGTGCTGATATAAATGTTGCTATAAGCTCCATTTGGTAAAATTCCTGCACGGGTTATTCTGTGTTTCATCAGAAAATTTTCTTCACTCTTTCTATTCCTGTTTTTTTATTTGCAAATTTAATTTGTGTTCCTTGCTTTTTTTTTGAGTCCTTTGATTGTTGTATGGGTTTTTGCAGAGTTATATGCTAGTATTTGGTGTCTTTTATTGGCATATATATACTCCCTCCGTACCATTTTATCCGGCGTGAGAGGAGAGTTTCCGGGTACCAAGGACGTCTGCCGACGCATGCGTGCGTATTAACTCCACCTAAACTCAACCAATCAGGAATCATCCGTGCCGCGAAAGTTGATGTGCTGTTCCTCTGCAGGCCTATCCCATGCAATGAACGCTTCAGTTCCAGGCAATGAACGCTTTGGTTTGAGGCCTGCAGTAATTATCTAGTTCCAATCCACCGTCCCGCCTGGTATTATGGTAAAAGCAAAAAACATGTGCACGCCTGGTATAACGGAATGGAGGGAGTATCTCTTAACTAAGAAGCCTTTGTTCATTGTCCCTCCCAAGTACTGTACTTCGTTCCATTCTTTCCTTTCTCCCTCCCAAGTACTGTACTTCGTTGTTCGTTCCATTCTTTCCTTACTGGGCTGGTTTTGGCTCTTTGGCTTATGTTCCCAGTTCCCACCTAGCTAGGTGAGCAGCAAATGGTTCTTTAATTAATTCCTGGAAATACTTTCATTCCATGTGGCCTTGTTTGCTCGAACTTATCAGCCACGGTATAATGTTTTTCTCTCACAACAAATCAGCTTTGGTCGGTTTATTACCCGTAGAAACTATCAGCCGAACAACTATTGCCCTGTTGGCTTGGCTGATAAGCCACGGCTGAAAGTATTGTTGGTTGATTTGTTGTCAGAGAAAAATACTATTCGTTGGGTGAAAAAGTACGGCTTATAAGCCAAGTGAATAGGGTGTATATACGGAGTACAAAGAGAAAAATTCATGGCTGGTCCCTCAACTTGGCACATACGGAGTACAGAGAGGAAAATTCATGGCTGGTCCCTCAACTTGGCACGAGATATCAACTAGGCCCCTCTACTATCAAAATGATATTTCTGGGTCTATAAACTTGGCTTCAGGTATCATCCAGATTCAAACTCAGCTCTGCACGCTGATGTGGCATGCTCAGTGTGCATCTGACATGTGGGACCCACGCTTCAGGGGAATAAAAAAACAAACTTTTCTTCCTCCGGCTCGCTTGCGCAGGAAGCGCCGGAGCTCGCGGTTGTTGGGCGCACGTGCGGCCCCGGCCGGCGAGGGCGCCGGCGCGGAGGCTGCCGGTGGGCGCGGTCCCGGCCGGTGAGGGCTCGGTGTCTCCCAGTGGCGTGCTCGGCAAGCTGTGCTGGCTCACGGTGGCGGACGTGGTGCGCATCCTCCTGAGCTCCGTTGGCCTCTTCTCCGCCATAGCCTCGCGGTCTGTCTCCGAGCTTGGCGCCGTCCGCCCCGCCGCGCTCGCCGTCGTGGCCTGGCACAGCACGCTCTCCGCGCCGCCGCTCTGCGTTTCGGCGTTGCAGATCACGCCCTCGCTGGCCGGAAGCCGCCGCGCTGCGCCCGCGCCCGCCCCCTCGCTTCCCGGGCCGGGACTGCGCTCTCGACCGCGCCATGGCTAGCTGCATCACTGGCACACGGAAAGTGCACGCTGCTGATTGCACGAGCGGGACGATGAACGACTATCCAGGACGGCACGCACGAGACGGTCACGATCTCGCCGTGCGGCGCCGCTGAAGTGCACGGTGCAGACTGCAGAGGACAACGACGGGGGTCGCGCGTTGCAACGAGCCAAGGACCGGAGCCGACCGCCGCACGGGCAGGCGCTCGCTCAGTCGGAGCCGTGTGCCGTGCCGCCGTGTCGCCCGCGGACGCACGGCCCGTGCGCGCGATTGCTGCTCGCTGGCACGCACGCACGCAGGCAGTCAGTGAATTGACTGCGCCGGTAGCCTCCGCGCCCTCGCCGGCTGGGGGCCGCGCCCGCCGGTAGCCTCCGCGCCGGCGCCCTCGCCGGCCGGGGTTGGGGCCGTGCCCGCTCCCGCCGGCGCCCTCGCACGCGAGCCCAATGAGCTCCGGCGCTTCCTGCGCACACGAGCAGGAGGAAGAGTGTTTTTTATTCCCACATGACGCGTGGGTCCCACACGTCAGATGCACACTCCGTAGGCCACGTCAGCGTACAGAGCGGGTTAGGACCCGTTTGGACCTGTATGATACCCGAAGCCAAATTCATAGACCCAGAAATACCATTTTGATAGTAGAGGGACCTAGGTGACGTCTTATGCTAAGTTAAGAGACCGGTCATTAATTTTCCTCGAGTACAAAATAGATAGGAACTCTAATTTCATCCTTATTTCTGTCTAACACGCTCGATGTCACAGTTGACGTTGAACTATTTCTCTTGACCCCTTAGCACTACACTGCAAACTATACATACACATTTGTACTTGGGGCTCGGGCTCGGGGTGGACATTTCGTTAGCGGGTAGCGAGTCAGACGGCACTGAGTCACTGAGTCAGGTGTACTTGGGAGTGGGCATCTTCTCAGGCAGCGTTGGCAGCGTCACCTCACACTGAAGCATGCCTGATGGAAGGCCGCAGGCTGGAGTATGGATGGGCGCACGCCAGCCCGACGACCATCACACGCTCCATCTCGCCGTGGTCGAACTCGCCGTCCATCCGCTCGTCGGCGGCTTCAAGAACGGACCCTCTCCCATACAGGCCCCAGACCCATTCCACGAGGCGCGTCCTGCCCTGGTCCTGGTGCACCTGGTCGAGCACCACGGGCGGGCGGCCGCAGGCGATCTCGAGGAGCACGACGCCGAAGCTGTACACGTCGGACTCCGGACCCGCGCGGCCGGTGACGAGGCACTCCGGGTCCATGTAGCCCAGGGTGCCCGCCAGGTTGGTGGTGTGGGAGCCGCGCCCGTGGTCGACGAGCCTCGCGAGGCCGAAGTCGCCCAGCTTGGCGCCGAAGGAGGCGTCCAGCATGATGTTGCTGGGCTTGACGTCCCTGTGCACCACGCACTGCTCCCACTCCTGGTGAAGGTACAACAGCGCAGATCCCAACTCCAGCACGATCTTGAACCTGACAGGCCATGTTAGGAGAACGACTGGGTTGTAGAGATGGGTGTCGAGGCTGCCGTTGCTCATCGGTTCATACACCAGCAGTAGCTCCCTGCCCTGGTGGCACCACCCGATGAGCTGCACAAGGTTCCGATGCCGCAGCCGGCTTATGATCTCACCTCTGAGGCGTACTCTTTCCTCCCTTGCTCTGAACCTCTCGACACTCTCTTGATGGCGACGTGGAGGTCTAGCTCTCTCAGAAATCCTCTGTAAACCGCGCCGAAGCCGCCTTCTCCGAGCTTCTCCTCCTCGGAGAAGCCTTTGGTTGCGACAGAGAGTTGGCCGTACTCAAACCGCTTGGGCCCTGAGCCCTTCTCAAACTCCTCGTCCATGAGCTTGCCTCGAGCTTCCGATTCTAGCTGTATCTCAGCCAACTCCAGGTGTTTCCTTCCTAGTGCGCGGAGCAGGGCAACAACTGCTAGGCAGAGGAGGATGGATATGGAGCTGGTAACTCCGTGAGCAACCTTTAGTCCGGTTCTGGAATTCGAATCACCTACATATATAACATCAGATGGTTGATGACGGCGTAAGTGTAATACGTTGTTGCTGTTAGATTCTCCACCAGTTGGCCCAACGGTTAATTGGGCCCTTGATCCGTGCCTTGATCGAGGCGCCCAGCCGTTTTCTCACTGATGGGTCCCCGTCGCGCAGCGCTATAAAGAGGAAGGTGGAGGCCGAGGCACAAGGTACGAGATTCACTGTAGCCGCCAGCGCCCCACCGAGGTTCTTAGCCCTAGTCTGATCTAGAAGAGCGCACTGTAAACGACAGGAAGTCCACACCGCCTTCACTGTCGCCACTGGATCGCGCCTCCACTGCACAACTACCTCTACTCCGACACTCGAGGCCACGTCGCCGCGGCGCCATGGCCGTGACTGCGCTTTGGGAGGTACATCTACAAATTCTTTGTCTAAGTTAAGTTTCACCCGCTAGATCTACATCTAGAGGCCCTATAGATCGTATCAATTGCATCATCGGTAACAAGGATATATCAGTTGCGGTTAAGAACAAACCTGTGCTCGAGCCTGGGTCGGGTGAGCTCCAAGGAGCTACCAAGCTGAAGGACCAAGAGAGCAACTGGTGCAGCTCAATGGACGAGCCAGTTGCCGCCGAGAACCCGATGGCCACCTGCTCCGGCAGCGCCGTGCCGAGATCAACCTTGGCACTGACGTTGAAGGTTGGTGTCGCGTCGCCGAACTTGGGGCTGTGGTCGAACCTCAGCTCGACGTCCATCACGCTGGTGCTGCCGTTGTAGTCCACCCGCGCGCTCATCTGCCCGTTCAGGCTGAAGCTCGGCAGCGTGATGGTGGCCACGGACACGATCGAGTTCACGTCGATGCCCATGTGGTCGTAGGTCACGTTCGGATCCCAGCTGTCGTTGAACGTGTCGAACTCTCCACGGCCACGAACCTGTCCTCCTGGCTAAGGCCGACGGTCCGGTTGAGGCAGTAGTCGGGCCTGCAAAGCCCAAGGGCGCCGCCCTCCGAGTTGGGCGGCAGCGCCGACGGGTAGTGGCCGAGGAAGAAGGCCATGCCGTCGCCCTTGTTGTTCATGTCGGTGATGTTGATGGCGAAGGAGAAGGCGGTGGTGAAGCTGGCCACCTGCCCCGTGGCCTTGTCCCGAAGCGGCACCGGGTGCGCGTACGCTACCCTGCCCACGCTGAAGGAGAGGCCAGCCCTGTACGCGTTCGCCGTGAGGTCGAAGAGTTGGCCGTGGAATGCGGCTGCGCCCGCGGTCGTGAAGTCCGCGAGGCTGAACGTGGAGGCGTTGGAGAAGTCGAAGTCGAAGGAGAGGCAGGACGCGCGGAGGGCACCACGGCTGGTGCCACCGACCATCAAGTAGACCAGCGAGGTGACGACGAGACGTGTTGTGGCGCACATGGTCATCGCCGCCGACCTGCTAGCAGCCATGCGTGTGCTCGCTGCCGCTGCGTAAAGTATAAAAATGCTAGCTTGTCGAGAGATTGATCGGCTTGATAATGAACTAGTAGAAAGCGCGCGAGAGGGCGCGCGTGGACGAAGAGAGCGTGGCAGGTATAGAAGAAAGCATATGTTAGGTTGACATCTTCAAATTAGACTTAAATGAATACGTTTATCAACGAATGGTGGCCAGACAAACTAATGCTATAGTTCATTGGACAACAAAAGCATCACTATTAAAAATAAGTCAACGTAACAAAGTACCCTAAAGACAGACTGCTATCATGATCATGATAAGGCAGCAATGAGTAGCTAGTAAAATGAGCTTCGATTTTTGTATCCCTTCGCCGATGAATTAGTAGCAGCTTGCAAGTGATGAATTAGCAATTTGCAAAATCAGGTGTTTCCCATGATTGAGAAAGCAAAGGTGGAATTTGAAGCCTCATTCTGTATCAAAGCATTCAACATTGCAGGTTGGGCCATCTGTAAAGAGAGAAACGGCTACATCTTTAGACAAATCAGCCCGATACACGAAAACCGGGAAACCGAACCGATTTTTTCAGGAAAACTTACATGTAGTTGTATAGGATAAGAATTGAGTTACAAATGCATTCTAAACATCTGGGAGACCACATTCTATATTGGCAAAGACTGTAGTAGAAGTTACTGCTGCATCAGATATCCACTGCGTAAAAATGTCACATATTTTACCAGCAATATGAAAAAGCGTATTATGGAAACTTAAGATTGGAGGAACGGTACGTACAGGAGTTGTGAAAGTAGCCTATTCCAGCGCACCGCGTCAGGTAAGAAGCAAACAATCCTTAGAAACACCCAAGGAAGTTTTTCGCTGCATAAGCAACTCATGTAAAACATTTCTTTTACCTAACAGCTATGTACAAATGGAACAATAAAAAATAGCTTGCTAATTATATGGTGTTCTCTACTCAACCAACTGCCGCAGGCAAAAGCATTTTTAAATGATTCCTGGTTTGTCTCCAACGATAAAAAAACTGAAACTGCAGTAAGTTGAGAATGTAGACCAAATAAATCAACCTCTGCCTACGTGCTCGGAGCCCAGGACTGCTTGAGGGTGACTTGGTGCACCATGTAAGCTGAGGTGAACTCCAAAACTGGGGAAGCATCCAGCTCTGCGATAGTGAGGGGAACCACTAATAAGAACAGGACACCACGAATCCTCGCAAAAATTGGGCCCTAAACTAAGGCGGCAATGCCATCTTTAGTAATCTAGAATGGGAAAAGGCGCATATATTTGACAAAGTTTGAGCCAAATGTGGACCATACAAACTATTAACTGTTCAATGATTTTATTGTAGAAGAACGGAGTTTATACTCCATGTATCTCTTCCTTGTTTTGGCTGGACCTGATATCAGTTTGACAGTAGTTTCTATAATTGTAGGGACTCAATTATCAATATGGAGGTTCAAGGTTTTTTTAGTCAGATAAAATTGTTCATAAACACTAAGATATACTATTAAGCAACAAGCACAGTGCACAAACAAGGATGCAATCATTATAAAAACCTTAAGAACAGGCTGCATCAAGCAAAACTAGGATGCGAACAAATGGCCTACAACATATATGAAGCCAAGTATACGGGAAAATGAGATGCTCTTCACGGTGTTGTACCGGTTAAATTGTGGAGTAAGGGTGAAAGCAGGAATCATTAATGGGACACGTATATGAAGCCCTATCTTCTTGATGCTAAACGGTATCGATAAACTATAGGAACTCTAGGTATTGCTATTGTAGACAGGAATTCATCCAAACATCTGGAAAGTATGGCATCACATCTTGGTAAAAAAGAAAGAATCAATTAGCTACAAGCATCAACTGTCAATATAATGATCTTGAGCCTTGATCTATAGGCACCACGTTACAATAATAAATAACAATTACCATGCTTCCTGGAAATTTTTTGCTGTTCTGACCTGTCATTAATTGTCTTGGAATAAACACATTATACCAAGAACAGGACAGGAATTAATCAACCTACAAAACATACACTGCCAACAGGGGCCACCTAACTAACATACACTTGGCCGCAGCTAGTACGCACTAAAGGGGGAGAACCGCTACACATTCATGGACCAAAGAGAAGAAGTAACCATATTATTGTTTGAACTTTGAAAGGTTGTTATGGCTTAGAACATAACACACACTGCACCTATAACCAAGCTTTACTTCCCTTCAATACCAACTAAGAAAATACCTAATAGAGACATGCATGTGAACTGTCTAATTTGACTTACACTGAATATTTCTTAGTGTTCAATTAGACTTCCTTAACAACAGAGTATGCAGAGAATTATTGCTTATTTTTTTGTGCCCACCTGCTTGACGACAAGCATACTAAGCTCTGTAGCCATCTCTCCGAACAATGAGTCTGCTATTGGTCCACAATTATCAGCATTTTGGATCAGGTCTCATATAAAATGGAGCATGCGGCACTTTCTGCAGCGCAAGTTCGAATTAGGACGTTGGACCATCCATCACAAAAAAACCCTATGAATTCTAAATAAAGCTGAGGGCACTACAATAAATATCAAATCTATAAAATTGACAGGAATTTGTGTGTAACGATAGATGAACCAAACTCAAAGCGAAGCATAAGAAATTTAAAGAGTTGTTCTAGGCATTACACACATGTAGTTTTGAAGGTCATGAAACTCTCTTCCTTTGTACGTGGACATGAAGGCATGCACTAAATATAATCATACATATGCATGTGCAGAGAAAATTTTATGAAATAACAGAGCGAATTATGGCTTTATTGTAAATGGAGAACCTGCATGAATAAAATATATTAAAGGGAACTGCATACCTCCCGATACTCAGACTCGAATTTAGACAGTTCGGATCGATTTGCAATTATGTTTTCCTCCACGCTTTGTGGCTTCTTTTTTTAAGCGAGAGAAGGCTCAAAGACATACAACCTCAATAATAATATAGCTAACACCTTTGAAGAAATTGTCACCTGAAAGTGATTGAGTTTCAATAAACTATGATATAGTCACACATGCCTATATATGGTGCAACAGGAAATGGTATTACCATATACAGCAAAACAATGTGTTCATGCTTTCAAATTATTTACTTCACAAGGTTTCACCAAGTAGTTTAGTAGTTTGGAGCATCATTAGAATAAGAACCGAGAACTTGTAGCCATTTGGGTTATCAAAATGGAGACACCAAGGAATTCAAACGAATGATCAACTTAGATAAGGCATGTGCAACCTATTGTCACTATTTGGTACGCTTTTTTATATTGACCGAAGTCATGACCTTCTTTTGAAATTCAGTAGAGTTGTTGATTGTTAGGCACAGACATATGCTTTTAGGATCAATGTATTGGAAGGTTATTTTTCTCTCAGATAGAAGAAAGAATACAAGATCGCTCAAGGAGACTTGGTGTATATAGCTATCATTACTACAAATACGTTCCATACTCAAACCAATAGTGATAGAATGTACCTTATCTAGCCACTTTCGTGAGGCATAAAGTACGGCCTGCACAAGGTCATTTATTTTCAGCAGCAAGAGTCTTGACAGGCATAATGTTGTAGGATAGTTTAGCAACTCCATGTAGATCCATATAGCACGTAAAATAATAAGATCAGAATGGTAAATAAAAAAATAACCATAAGAGTACAATTAACTTTGTTTGATAGCATTAGTTGGCACCAACACGATGATTATATTTGCTAGGGAAATACTGCAGGTATATGAGCAACTACTTTACCTCATATATATAACCTCAAAGAGCTGAATAATTTATCGTCGTAGAAACTAACCTAATCAAGCCTGTAATTATGTCAATGAAGGTAAAAATCTGATTTCAACTATAAAGAAGTTAACAGAAATAATTATTTAGGTACAATAATAACTTCTTTCCAGTGCGAAGCTAAGGACACATTTGTAGGACATAACCATAGCATCTTTTTTAAGCAAATCTAAGCAACTAAATAGCTAGTGTGAAGTTGTGTCATATAGTATTGCAATCTGACACTTAAAACCTACATGATCATAAGATCTTATGAACAGAATACATTGGGTTCATGTGCTTCAGTGTTCTCCCGCCTTGCCAACATGCCATCATCATCATCAACAACAACAACAACAACAACAACAACAACAACAACAACAACAACAACAACAACAACAACAACAACAAAGCCTTTAAGTCCCAAACAAGTTGGGGTGGGCTAGAGTTGAAACCCAGCAGAAGCAATTAAGGTTCAGGCACGTGAATAGCTGTCTTCCAAGCACTCCTATCTAAGGCTAAGTCTTTGGGTATATTCCATCCTTTCAAGTCTCCTTTTATTGCCTCTACCCAAGTCAACTTCGGTCTTCCTCTGCCTCTCTTCACGTTACTATCCTGGCGTAGGATTCCACTACGCACCAGTGCCTCTGGAGGTCTCCGTTGGATATGTCCAAACCATCTCAACCGGTGTTGGACAAGCTTTTCTTCAATTGGTGCTACCCCTAATCTATCACGTATATCATCGTTCCGAACTCGATCCCTTCTTGTATGACCGCAAATCCAACGCAACATACACATTTCCACGACACTTATCTGTTGAACATGTCGTCTTTTCGTAGACCAACATTCTGCACCATACAACATAGCAGGTATAATCGCCGTTCTATAAAACTTGCCTTTTAGCTTCTGTGGTACCCTTTTGTCACAAAGGACACCAGATGCTTGGCGCCACTTTATCCACCCTGCTTTGATTCTATGGCTAATATCTTCATCAATATCCCCGCCTCTCTCAGAAAGCAATCGATCCTAAATATCGAAGGTATCATTCCTAGGCACTACTTGACCTTCCAAACTAATATATTCCTCCTCCCAAGTAGTAGTGCCAAGTCACATCTCATATACTCGCTTTTAGTTCTCTTCGAGTCTAAAACCTTTGACTCCAAAGTCTCCCCTACATAACTC